TTACATTTGACTGAAATTATTTTTAATCCTTGCTATATTTCTTTTAGGAATCCAATGATCAAATTTCATTAGGACCTACAGCTAGAAGTAACATATATTCCAGTCAACCCCTGATACCTAAACCCTATCAAAAATAAATCTGAATAAGACTTTTTTTTTTTTTGATTTTCACATCTCCACTCACATCAGTAGCCATGAGCTCTTCAGCATCATTGATGGAAGCTACAGTCGTCTCTCCTTGGGAGATGAAGGCGTAGTCATAGGGGTTGTTGGTGATGAGCAGCATTTCTAAAACATATGGAATATTTATTGTTATTTTGATCTTAATGTGCCATGTCAGATTAGTTTAACGTCTTCTCTGGCATACCAAGCAACTCTGGCTTTTTCTGAGAGAGAATTTGATAGAAGATATGATAATCTCTCTCAGCTTTGAGCTGAAAAGTGACTCTGGACTTTTCCAGCAAATCTGTGAAGATAGTTACAATTTGGGTTTGAAAATGGCATTTATTATAGCATGATGACAATTATAAAAATTAAGTCATCTAAGACCTTACATGTTTCAATATCAGCTGATGCTAATTTTCCACTTGCAGCAAAGTGAATTCGTATAAATTTGCCCTGAAATTAAAAATATTAACAACTATCATTAAAACTCTGCAAATCTATGAATGTGCATCAAACCATACAAATCGGGAGGAGTTGTCGTTTCTTATGGTCTTGGCATTTCCAAATGCCTCCAGAGCAGGGTTAGCCTGGATGATTTGATCTTCCAGTGTTCCCTGGAAAAGGAAACCTAACCATGAGTTTATAAAAAATACATCTGTGTCCATGGGTTATATCTTACTGTAAGAACTGACCTTTTTTTCAGAGCCTCCATCTTTCTTCCCACCTCCAGCTGCAATACTGGCAAAGTACTGTATGACCCTTTTAGTGTTAACAGTCTTCCCTGCACCAGATTCACCACTGCGGAGACAGTTTGCATATATTATAACAATAATAATACAGCAGTAAGCCATGAACACATTTAAAAAGGATGTATAATTTATTTATATATTTCATTATTGGAAATACGCACTCACGTGATAAGAATTGACTGATTTTCTCTGTCTGAAAAATATAGATTTAAAGGAATGCCATATGAATTGCTGTTCATATATCCATAGTAATCATTAAAAATGACGGAGCGCTTATTTACCAGTTAACATGTACTGGTAGGCATTGTCAGAGATGGAGAAGATATGAGGAGGAGCTTCACTCCTCTTCTTTCCTCTGTAGGCAGTAATACCTCTTGGTTGTAGACTGGCAGCCACTTGTAGGGGTTGACAGTCACACAGAACAGCCCAGAGTAGGTCTGTCAAATTTAGGGACAATAGTGAATGACAGTAGTTTGATTTTGTGTAGCATCCCAATGCACTGAAAATAATCTCACATAGATCATCCATGCAGCATAACGCTCTTTGAGGTTAAACAACACAGCAGGCTCATGGAGGAAGGTGAACATTGCCATATCTTCAATTTTATCAAACTTAGGTGGGTTCTGGGGGTGTACGTCACAGTCCTTTACAGTTACAGTCTAGAAAGAAAATACATAATGCACATTATAAAATATTTAATATATTATAGAATATTTTTAAGCTTTTCTCTTTTTATTATTAACTTTAAACTTAGCTTGTAAAATACAGCTTTTACATATTACTAAAGCAGATAGAGTAAAGCAGTGTTGCATACATTACTATATCATATTTCTTTCTATTTCTCAGATATTTTTTAGAAGAATGATCCTTACAAACCTTCCCTTTCTCAGTCTGAGCAGTGACTTTGTCTCCATCTCGACTGATGATGGATGCTTTAACAAACTCCTCATCTGGGTCTGGGACAAAGCATTCTTTCTTCATGTCAAATGGACGGGTTTGGGCCTCTAGACGTTCCCTGTCCGACTTCCTTAGGTAAGGGGCTGCTGCCCCAAACTCTTTCATGGCAGCATCACCCATTTTTCACCCTATATAAAACAAAGTAGGGTTACAGATTGTTGTTGTTTTAATTATCTAAACCAAAACACACAGTTTACTAACCTTAGCAGTGCCTTTTGAGGAGAATGAAAGGGTCCTGAATAGGAGGAAGAATGGATGGAAGTTTCTGCTGTTAAACAGTTTAGAAATGTATAGAAATGTTATATCAACTAATCACAGACTGCTCTGGGACCTTACCTTGAGATAGAATGGTGACCTATTGGAGGATTCACCATGAGTTCTCTTTTTAAATGAAGCCTCTACTCCAAATATGGAGGAGATTTAAGGGTCTCAGAAGGGTATTGTGTCTGAGATGGGTTGGGGACTTGCAAAGGGGGGAGGGGGTTAATGAATGACATAGAGCAATATAGAAATCAGCAGGTCATTCTTATCAGTGATGTGTCTCCCAGCGAGTCCATATTAGGCACTCCCTAGAGCAGGGGTGTCAAACTCATTTTGGTCCGGGGGCCGTATCCAACCTACTTTGATCCCAAAGGGGCCAGATCAGAAAACCCATGTCATATAAACCCCAAAAATAACAATAAGTTCAAATATTTGTGCAGAGAATCGCAAATCTATTACAGAAATCTTTTTTAATTGATGAACTCTTTCTTATTATAATATTATGAACAACCTGAAACTTTAAGAAAAATTCTATTTCAACACAATATTTTAACATGAACTTGTATGCAAACAGGAATAAGTAAATTTTTCTTGGAAAATCCTGCACTCGGCTCCACTTTTCTTATGTTGGACATTTTGTTGATGAGGGTGTCACGGTCAACAGTCAAAACGATCGTCCTTTAAGACCGTTTGGAAAGAGACAAGTCTTCATTTATGCTGCTCTGGTGGGAGGGGGCACGCACAGAGGCGCTGGAGACGCTGCTATGCTCAGCACTGCAGAAAATTACCAATATTTTAATAGAAAATATAATTAAAATATTTTCGTAGAAAATCACCCAAGGGCCACATTAAAGGTCTTGAAGGGCCGGATCTGGCCCCCCCGGGCCTTATGTTTGACACCTGTGCCCTAGAGCTTAGTGATTAATCATAGGTATCCTCAAGCACCAGGGACAACACAATCTTTAAATAGACACTGAAAGGAATTCCTTTCTCCTCATCCCTTTACGAGGCTTCTCTTACTAGATCATGTAGAACTAAACTTATGTCTTCCAACAGCTAAGCTGTTGCCTTAGTCCATGGACAAAAATAAGTCAGCTACAAAACAACCATTTGAAAGTATATATTCATATATGAATCGCTGTATGTTGTAACTGGTACGTGTTATATGATATAATGATTTTAGGGCTAATGGCTATGCAAGCTATGCTATTAACAAAATTGGACAATTTTATTGGACAGAGAATCCTATGAATGCAAATTAGTGTTGTTAGTGTGTTGTTTACACACAAATAATATTGCATGCAGTAGGCGAGAAAATTACAAGTATTTCATGCCTTGGTATCATTTACCCAGTGGGATTAAAGGAAGTTACCGCAAGGCATTGACCACATATTGTGCTCACTTATCACAGACTGGCCTGTGTGGGAGCAAAAACAGCCACGAGATACTGAGTCTGTTGTTCTAAATAAGGAACATTCGTCTATGAGATTAACCAGGCGACAAGTGCGAGGCAGCGCAGACAGAGGTCTGCCACAGGTGACATACTTGAGATTTACTCAAAGGCAATAATGATGACACAATAGAAGGCTATGTCTGTGAGCCATGCTCCAGTGTGAAGCCAAGGTCACTGTGGAGGCCCTCTCCTATTATCATGCAGCAGCCTGTGAACACTGGCCCCTCTGTTACAGGCCTGTCGACATGGCATTGTGTCTTTGCGGACAAAGATAACTGTGTGAAATTCCAGCCCAGAGCTCCACACTGATTGAAGGAGATGGCTAAAGAGGCTTTCAGGAGCCAACATCGAGGATCAACTCAACCAGAGAATGGCTTCTCGCTGTTGGTGTGTCATAAATATCATGAGAGTGTTTTTTCCAGTACATCATCACAATTTATTGTGGTCGGTCTGAACAAAACAGACTAATATTACTAATATATACTAATTCTTTTCCCTGTGCAATTTGCATAAAAATAGCAATTACTATTTATATTGTCAAATTGTTTATTGACAATTGTATGCATTTTTTACTAATTCTCTGCTATGCTCAGACATCATCACTATTTATCAGCATCTTCTGAAAGGTGAAGAGATAAAATTGGGGTCAAGTGCTGCTGACAAGTGCTGAGATTATTTCCATTCTGATAACCACTCTAGCTGTGCCTCTGGAAGCAGGCGTCAGAGTGCCAAATTGCCCTGAGAGATTCCAGGACCCGACTAAAGACAGCGCTGACCTTTGAAGCACTGTACTTGATTTTTCTCTTAAAAAATGTAAAAACATTTGTTGTTATAATTCATTCATTTTAAACTGTTTGCAGCAGTTCAAACTAATCCCCCACTTTCCTAAAGTATTGCTAGCATTGTAAATATTCACTAGGATTACACTTCTTGAAACCAGCAATATTTGATGCTTTGTCACCGATAAAAAAAAATGCTGCAAATTTTTATCAATTATATCATTTTTGATCAAATTCTTTATATTAAATGTAAAAAAAAAAATGACTCAATCAAAATATATATTACACTGACATGACATTAGTCAGTATTGTACAAGATGTCTTGCCTTGTTCAGGGGTTCACTACATCACACTGATTATCACTCACACAGGGTGTCAGTGTCAGCTGATGGCATGCATTAAGAGGATATATTGAGGCATACAGTTTCTCTATCTCCTGAGTCTTATTTGGTCTCACAAAAAACACTGACAGTCATAATAACAGTATGCATTCCATCGTAATAGACAGAGATGAGTAATAGTATTGATTATCTTGTCAAGCTAGTATTTGTCAGGAAGTTGGTAAAGAAAGATTACATAGTGCACTTAATATCAGCTGTATGTAAAGTTATAAACTTAACAAAAGGAGGAAACAGATGAGGTGCTGAAGAATCTTTATTAATTGCTACATTTTTGTGAATGGGGATAATTGAGGGAGTCTAATAAACACAGCAGACAGAGGATTATTGTATTGATGATACAAGCTTCATTCCTCATCAAACCCTTTCTGTAGCAAGAAAAAAAGTTTCTGATTAGTATCAGCAAAGCAATAAACCTTGTCAAGCAATGTGCTTTAGCTATTTTTGTCAATATAAAAACAGTAGCAAAGCAAAACATTAGCAAAGGCTATGTGCGCATGCTTCAAACCTTGGATCCCACGTCGCGGCTCTTAGCACGTAGCTTGTTCACTTGTGATTCTGCTATGTCAGCTCGCTCTTCTGCTTCATCCAGTTCATGCTGCAGTTTGCGGAACTTACCAAGATGAACATTAGCTTGTTCCTCCTGTAAGAGATGTTAGACATTTATGTTAGCCATTTAGATAATAAACATTTACGTATATTTATTCAGATAAATGGATACAGTATATAGAGCTGAACTGGAAAATGTTGAGACTAGGTTATAAATCAGTCCACTTCCTTTGTTTAATAATTGCATTGACATTGGATAGCCACTAGACAGACAACAGTGGATAGCCATTATTGTAATAATTATAAACAGAAAATTCCAGTACTCACAGCTTCCTCAGAAGCTCTCTTGTAGGCTTTAACTTTCAACTGCAGTTTGTCCACCAGGTCTTGTAGACGTGCATTGTTCTTTCGATCTTCTTCAGTCTGTTTAAATTGAGCAAACATCAGGTTATAATGTTGTGAAAATGTAGCTATTGTAACATGAAGAATTGGTAGCATACCTGATAGGTAAGTTCCTTAATACGGCGTTCATATTTGCGGATGCCTTTCACCGCATCACTACTCTTCTTTTGCTCCATTTCCACCTCATTCTCCAGCTCTTTCACCTGGAGAAAATGTATTTAACACTTGACAACAACATAGCTCAACAGCACCACATTGAATAAAGGTCACTGCTGTGTTTAGCTCACCCTAGCCTCTAGCTTCTGTATCTGCTTCTTGCCTCCCTTCATTGCGATCTGTTCAGCCTCATCCAGACGGTGTTGCAGGTCTTTGATGGTCTGCTCCATGTTCTTCTTCATGCGCTCCAGGTGAGCACTGGTGTCCTGCTCTTTCTTCAGCTCCTCTGCCATCATGGCTGCATCAGTGATAGCTTTTTTGGCCTTCTCCTCTGCGTTTCTGCATTCTTGCACGGCCTCTTCCACTTCAGTCTGAAGCTGGGATGTATCAGCCTCCAGCTTCTTCTTTTGGTTAATCAGACTGGTGTTCTGGATCAATATAAAGTTATAATGAGTATTGTGTTTTATATCAAAGTTTGATCTCATGTAAAACACTGCCCACCTGTGAGTGCAGTAACTGCACTCTCTCAGATACATCCAGCAACTCTTGTTCAGCAAGTTTTCGGCTTCTCTCAGTTTGCTCCAGAGCCGCTCTTAATTCTTCAACCTCAGCTTGAAGCAAATTATTGCGTCTCTCAACCATAGCAATGTTTTCCTTCATATCATCATTGGCACGAAGAGAGTCATCCAGCTGCAGTTGTGCATCCTGTGTGATTTTATATCGACACAATTAGTTAAGTGATTATACACGACTGTGCTGACTGTATAAGTCTTATATTACCTTGAGATGAGCGTGGATAGTTTTGAGTTGTTTCTGAGCCTCAGCTGCCTGCCTGTTGGCTTGGCTGAGCTGGATCTCCATCTCATTGAGGTCTCCCTCCATCTTTTTCTTCAGACGGAGAGCTTCATTTCTGCTGCGAGTCTCAGCCTCCAGAGAGCTCTGAAGAGTATCAATCATCCTCTGCAGGTTTCTCTTGGTTTGCTCCGTCTCCTCATCCTTCTCTGCCAGTTTCCGCTCCATGTCTGCCTTGATTTGGCTGAACTCAAGCTGGGCTCGAAGAATCTTTCCTTCCTCATGCTCTAATGAGGCCTGTATTTAAAAAAAAAAATATTAATACAAGCTTTTTGCTTTTGACTTTTTGTGGTTTCACTTTGTTCTCACCTCAGCTTCCTCCAGAGCTGACTGTATTTCACTCTTCTCTTGTTCTAGCTGCTTACGAAATTTTTCTAACTCATGAATAGTTTTCCCTCCTTCACCAACTTGTTCGGTCAGGTCAGAAATCTCTTCTGCTCATAATTAAATACATTAGATCTTTATATATATCTTAGATTATATGTTGTTTTAAATTATTTCATGTGTGACACTACCTTGTAGATTCTTATTTTCTCTTTTCAGTGTTTCTAGATGATCCAAAGATTCTTCATAAGAGTTCTTCAGTTTGAAAAGCTCAGTGCTCAAGGCCCGTGCCTCTTTTTGGGAGCTCTCCAGCTCTGCTTGTGACTCTTCATACTTTTGCTTCCACTCAGCCAAGATCTTTTAATCAAAGTACCACAAAAAAAATTGGTGAATTTGGGATATTTTGTTTTAAAAAAAACTCAACAATGCCTACTTTATCAAAGTTTCTTTGTTTCTTGTCCAGAGCAGCTGCAGCAGCATTAGACCTCTCCACGTCCACCATGAGATCTTCAATCTCATTCTGGAGTCTGTGTTTGGTCTTCTCCAGAGAGGAACACTTGGCATTAACTGCTTCCACTGCCTCCTCAGCTTCCTGCAGACGCTGAGCCAACTTCTTTCTAATAAAAATATTCAGAGTTTCTTATAGCTTTGGTGATATTCACTGTAGTTGTGTTTTGTAATGGACACTTACTTTGCCTCCTCCAGTTCCTCAGTCCTCTGGATGGCATCAGTTTCATACTTTGTTCTCCACTGTGCCACTTCAGAGTTTGCTTTAGACATACTTCGCTGCAGCTCACCCTTGGCCTCCTGCTCCTCTTCATACTGCTCTCTGAGCAGGTCACAGTCATGGCGAGCAGACTGCACGGCATGAGCTAATGCATTCTTTGCCTTTTTATTCAGAAAAATACATGAGAATGTACGTTATGTGTTTATGAATATGTATATACATATAGCATAGTGCTTTGAGTTAACAATTTTTTCACCTTTACTTCCTCTTCCAACTGTCGTTTCAGATCTTCAAGCTGCTGGTTATAGGAGTTCTTTCCTCTGGTTAGTTGAGAAATTAGTGATTCTTTCTCTTCAAGCTGTCTGGAAAATTCACCTTACAAGGCATTTCAATAAAGTCAGTTGTTAGCATTATTTCTTATTGTCTATTTTATAAATAAATACCATTCTCAGCTTGAAGCTTTGCTCTCTGGGTGGTGAAGTCAGTCAGGGACCTTTGATACTCGTCACACTTATTTCTGTATTCATTCATTTGGTCCTCCAAAGATCTGCATGTCTTCTCCAAGTTGATCTTAAAACACACCATATATATATATATATATAGTATGATAGTATTATAGTATTTTTTTTTTTTATTGAATACAATTTAAAGTGTTATTCACCTTGACCTTGACAATCTGCTCCATATTGGAAACCACATCATCCAGCTCCAGTCGCAGCTCACTCTTCTCTTTCTCCAGTTTCTGCTTGACTCTCTGGAGGTTATCGATCTGCTCTCCCAGGTCAGCCACACTGTCGGCTTGTTTCTTTCTGAGAGTGGCAGCGGTGGCCTCATGCTGCAGAGTGGCCTCTTCCAGGTCCCTCCGCAGTTTCTGTAACTCAGCCTCCCTCTTCTTGTTCATCTCAATCTGGGCAGATGTTGCCCCACCAGCCTCCTCCAGCCTCTCACTGATCTCCTCCAGTTCTCTGGCTAAATCTGCTCTCTGCTTCTCCACTTTGGCTCGAGCAGCTCTCTCTGCTTCCAGCTCTTCTTCCAGTTCCTCCACACGCGCCTATTGACAAAGCAGCAGAGTCGTACACAACAGGGCTCCAATAACTGTCACTATACCTGTTTACCTGTAGCTCTTTAAGCTTCTTCTGGAGTTGAAGGATTATAGCCTGCTCATCCTCAATTTTTCCATTCAGCTGACTAATTTCAAAGTCTTTTCTGTGTGCATATAGGTCAGAACAGGTATTACAGTGTAGTATTAATTCAGGAGTAGTAGTATAGAGTATAGTAGTGTATTTTTTAAATGTCAGTATCATACTTCTTTAGACGCTCTTCCAATTGTTGTTTGTCGTTTTCAAGATCCATTACACATTCTTGAGTCAGCTTTAAGTCTCCCTCCAACTTTCTCTTTGCTCTCTCTAAGTCCATTCGAGCCTTCTTTTCTTGTTCAAGGGATCCTTCAAGCTAAGAAATACGTAATGAATTTTTAGTAACCATTGTTTTTTTTGTTTTTTTTTGTTATTGTATGTGATATGTTTCAAGTCTTACATCATCCACTTGTTGCTCCAGCTTAGCTTTGAGTTTTGTCAGAGTGTTGACCTTGTCTTCCTCACTCTGTAGGTCATCCAGTGTTTGCTGGTGAGCTTCTTGTAAGGCTTTCTTCTCTTTGGTCAGTTTGGCTATGATTTCATCCAGCGCAGCCATTTCCTCAACCAGGTTTTTAACCTACAAGTTGTGCAATGTACAGATCTAAGAAATGTACTCAATGAATCAAAGCTAATGAATTCAAAAAGCACCTTATTCTCAGTGGCATGTTTCTCCTTCTCCACTTTAGCTAGTGTTAGCTCTAGATCATCAATGTCTTTCTTCAGTTCAGAGCACTCGTCCTCCAGCTTCCTTTTCTTTGCAGTGAGATCTGCATTCATCTCTTCTTCATCTTCCAACCTCTCAGTAAGTTCCTTGGCTTTAGCCTCAAGTTGGATTTTGTTTTTAATCAGGCCTTCACACCTTTCCTCAGCATCACATAGATTGTCTTGCTCCTGTTAGGAAGATTTTGTTTATAGCACACACTAATTGAATATGACTCTCAGAAATTATAAGAGTAGTGGTGTTTCTTACCGCTTGAACTTGGAGTTGCAGATCATTCTTCTCTTGGAGAAGTGAAACCATTTTCTCCTCTAGTTCTTTTCTGCGGGCTTCTGACTTTGCATACGCCTCTTTGAGCTTCATGAATTCTTCTTTCATGTTTGCCATTTCCTTTTCAGCTTCAGCTGATCTCAGCAGAGGTTTGATCTTGAAGTAGAGCTTCATCCAGGGCCAATTCTTGACTCCCATGAAGGCACGAATATTCCACTGGATCACCAACAGTGCATCTCTAGATCATAATAAAACACATATTTTGAGCAGTCATTATGAAAAATTTTCATGTGCTATTGTAATTTAAAATTGGTGTTACCTGCGTTCCACCATTTTCTGATACTCAAGTCGTGACAGAAGTCCTCGAGATCTAGCTTGGATGGCAGTGATAATTTTGGACAGTCGCTCATCTCTCATTTCTTCTAGCAAACCCAGCAGTCCAGCCTTAAAAAACACCTGTAAATATAACCTGCAGTTTAAGTTCTTATTCAATGTCCACATGTAGTCATGTTGCTAATTACAGAACCTTTGTGTGGCCAAATTTGTACTGGCTGTGATCAATGTCCAGAGATCCAAGAAGCTTTTCTGCTCCTTTTCTGCTATCAATGAACTGACCCTCTGGGATTGCAGCAGGATTCAAAATACGATACCTGTGAAGAATAAAACATCCTCTCTTGTGAATTCCAGTTCACTACAACAAGAAATTGTATTGAAAACCTGTTTTACCTCTGCTTAAAGTCTCCATAGAGGATCCTGTTGGGGAATCCTTTCCTGCAGATCCTGATGCCTTCCAGCACACCATTACAGCGCAATTGGTGCATCACCAGAGGGTTCTCCATGGCTCCAGGAGTCTTGGTCTCATTGGGGATGATGCAGCGCACAAAGTGAGGGTGAGTGGACCTCAGGTTGGTCATCAGCTTGTTCAGGTTCTCCTGTTGCATTGTGAGACAAATTTCAAATATGTATTATTATTATTATTATTATTATTATTATTATGTAAAATAATCTAGAAGTTGTACCCGATGAAGAGCTGATACAGTTTGAAATGAGGAACCTTTCTTCTTTTTCTCTTTTTTTCCTTCTGTTCCTTCTGTTTAAAAAAATGTATTGCATTTGTATTATTATACTCTTGAAATATCAAAAACATCATATATTATACCTGAGTCTGTTCCAGCATAATGTGCAAAGAGAGTTGCCAGCAATTTAAGAGTGGACTTTTGGTAAAGTCCCACTACCGTCTCATTTAGAGGGTCCTTGTTCTTCACCAGCCAGTTGTTGATATTATAATCCACTGTCCCGGCATAATGAACCAGTGCAAAATGAGCCTCTGGTTTTCCTTTGACAATTCTTGGCTTCTGGAAATTGGCAGATTTTCCCAGATGATTGTCATAAAGCTTTGCTTTAAATGTGGCATCACTGGCTTTTGGAAACATGCACTCCTCTTCAAGGATGGACATGATACCCATGGGCTAGAGAGAACAGATGTTTAAGTTAAACTGAAGAGTAAACAAAAAATCGAGCTAACTTACCTTTTCAATGAGGTCAATACAGGCCTGTAAATCCATGCCAAAGTCTATGAAGGTCCATTCAATCCCTTCTTTCTTGTACTCTTCTTGCTCCAGTACAAACATGTGATGGTTGAAAAACTGTTGCAGTTTTTCATTTGTGAAGTTGATGCACAGCTGCTCAAAGGTGTTGAACTGTAAAATAAAAGTTTTCACTTTACATTATGAAAATAATATGTAAATGTTCAATAATATGTAAATGTTTATTATTTTACTTACATCAAAAATTTCAAAACCAGCAATGTCCAGTACACCTATGAAGTACTGACGAGGTTGTTTGGTTTCTAGTGACTGGTTGATTCTTATGACCATCCACAAAAACATCCTCTCATATACTGCTTTGGATAAGGCACCAACAGCATAGTTCACCTGTTGATGCACATGTGTTGATGAAACAAATCAAATTATTGTTATAATATGAAGCGTACATTTTTATATATTTCTTTTAAGTCTGTACCTGGGCAACAGTTTGTCCCTTTGTGACCCACTCATTTCCTACTTTCACTCTCGGATGCAGCAGACCTTTTATGAGGTCAGCTGAGTTCAGGCCCATCAAATAGGCTGCTTTATCTGCATCTGTGTCAAACAGTAGTCATATGTCTGTCCTCTGAAGTGGACTAACTAAAATGTTACTTTTCTGTGATAACATTATATATGTTATTTTTTCTGGATGATTGCAGCTTTTAGGGATTTAAGAATATACCTTCAGTTCCATCAGCCTCTGCCTGCTCCTCTCGTTGCTTCTGTTTGAATTTCATGTTTCCATGGTGCATGATGGCTCCTATCAACTTATACACAGAGTTCTTTTCTTCTTGTGTAAAGCCCAGCACATCAAAGGCACTCTGTAAAACAGTATTTTCAGTCTCTCAACCAATGAGTTATAATAGGTTTAAAGCAGTAAACTGGGTCAGAAAGTAATAGGCCTGACATCTGTGGCCATCAGCTCATCTGCATCATCTATGGAGGCCACTTGGGTTTCCCCCTGAGAGATGAAGGCATAGTCATATGGGTTGTTTGTGATTAACAGCATCTCTGGAAAAGATAAAGGGCTATGGTATAAGCATGTCAAACAGTTGGGCATTCATTTGAGAAGTGGCCTCTTACTGACCTAAGATCTCCGGCTTTTTATTTGACAAGATCTGATAGAAAATGTGGTAGTCTCGCTCAGCCTTAAGCTGAAAGGTCACACGAGATTTCTCCAGAAGATCTGCAAGTGGGAAAGAAGTATATATATATATATATATATATATATATATATATATATATATGTATATATATATATATATATATATATATATATATATATATATATATATATATTATATATTAAACAAATCATTAATACTATGTTTTATTTATCTTACATGTTTCAATATCAGCTGAAGCTAATTTTCCTCTGGCATCAAAATGAATCCTGATGAATTTGCCCTAAAAATAGAGCTTTATTTCAGAATAAACTTTTGAGCAGGGGTGCCAAACTTTTGCCAAAATTTATATGCACTAATATGCCAAGATGTAAATTTATTATTTAATTGTACTCAGTTGTATTGAGCTTTTTGTTTGATCTCTCCAGCAACTACTCTTTTCATTGCAAAATTAAATAAAAAATAGATAGCTCTTAAATCTGAGTGGGCCAAATTTGACTCTTTAGAGAGTCAATTTGGCCCTTGGGCCCACTTTAAGCACCCCTGCTTGAGAGAGTAAGATGATGCTATGTGACGATTACATACAAATCTGGAGGAGTTGTCATTTCTGATGGTCTTAGCATTTCCAAAGGCCTCCAAAGCAGGGTTAGCCTGGATGATTTGATCCTCCAGTGTCCCCTGACAAAAAAAAATATGTTAGATATCTCATAAATAAGTTTTTCACTCTCCGTAACATTTTGTTTGGTATGAAAGAATATGTGAAAGTAAACTATACACATTTATCCTAAATAAACTCAATTGCTTTTAATAGTTTGTTGTTATTTATATAGAACTTCAAACCTTGTCTTTTGCATTGGGATCCTTCTTAATTCCTCCAGCTGCAATACTGGCAAAATACTGAATGACTCTTTTAGTGTTGACAGTCTTTCCTGCACCAGATTCTCCACTGAATTTGATAAATATGTTGTTAATACAGAGACATTCAATAATTGAAATAAAGTGAAATAAAAAAAATGATACTTACGTAATCAGAATTGACTGATTTTCACGATCTAGAAAAAAATCATATTAAATACTACTCAGCATAGTCTCTATTATTTAAAAAGCCATGTAGATAGAAATCTCTTCCTACCTGCCAGCATGTACTGATAGGCATTGTCAGAGATGGAGAAGATATGAGGAGGAGCTTCACTCCTCTTCTTTCCTCTGTAGGCAACAACCACCTCTTGATTGTAGACTGGCAGCCATTTGTAGGGGTTGACAGTCACACAGAACAGCCCAGAGTAGGTCTAAGTATGAAAATAAGTTGAAAGATCAACAAATCATCCTGTTGTTTTGGAGAAACATGTGATCTGCTCACATAGATCATCCATGCGGCGTAACGCTCTTTAAGATTAAACAGCACAGCAGGCTCATGGAGGAAGGTCAGCATAGCCATGTCCTCAATCTTGTCAAACTTTGGAGGATTCTGTTGCAGAACCTGGGTATCTTTCACAGTAATAGTCTGTAGGAAAACAATATATACAAATATATATATATATCTTAAAACCCAAATCCTAAATTAATGCTTCTTTTATTATATTTTTGTGTAGTGTATTTGTGTCCTATGTCACAGCACTAAGCGTGCCATTCGAGGTTGTTGCCAGATGGCAGCAGTGCCCTGTTTCGCCACTCAGCTGCTTAGCATACTGACAACAGTCTCTTTAATTGCAAGCAGCCATTTAAACTTGTATTCACGTTCACTCAAGGATGTAGTCTTTAAATTACAGCCAGCTTTACACTGAGATTAGCACCTGATCCAGGAGCAGTGCTCAATTACATTTTAGAAAACACTTAACATCTTTCCTGTCTTAGTTCTGGTGAAGGATAGACATATCTACTGATGACTTTACTAACTTCACAACTGGATCTACACTGTTCTTCCACTTTTTCTCTATTACCTGCACTATATCCTTACGTTTAAGCAAGATATTGGCAGCATTCACATGAGTGTTACATTGATGTTTTAGTATGTTAAAGTTATTTGGGCTAACATATGTGTTTCTAATCATTAGAGGCACATAGCTTTTTGTTGCTTTCATCTGTCAAAAGTGTCAAGCAAACCTTTGCTCTGTGTTTATGTTTACTGATATTTTAATGGTGAATCTCCTATACTATTCCTCATCAACACTATGTTGGTAAATAACAGCAAAGATGAGGGCTGATGAGAGGAACTGACCTTGCCATGCTGTGTTTCCACAGTGACTTTGTCTCCATCTCTACTGATGATAGAGGCCTTGACAAACTCCTCCACATTGTCAGGGATAAAGCACTCCTTCTTGATGTCAAAAGGACGAGTAGATGCCTCCATCCTCTCCTTATCCGACTTCCTCAGGTACGAGGCAGCCGCCCCAAACACTGACATCTCTGCATCACCCATGGCTGTTGGGTGGGGACTTGAGTGTGAAAGATAGTATGAATCAGTGGTCCAGAAACATAAATTTGTACTTTTATATTCTAATACAATACAACATTTCTGTAGTAATATTCTAATATGTTATTTTGTACCTGTTTATTCCACTGAATAATCCGGTGGGCTCAAACTACGCTGTCACCTGTAATGCCAAAAAGATGTAGAAAATTTTTGTAATAAAAAAAAAAAGAAGATATATTTATATATATAAAACTGTATAATTGCAGACTTACAGAGTCCAGGTGAAGAGGAAGCAGCTTCTCGGTCAGAACTGTTGGTGATATCAAATATATAACCCTAGCTGACCCTCCCCACTGAGGCCAAGGACACCACCCTGACCTGCAAAGCAACACACAACCACAGGTAAAACATGCCCCGCATGCGCTGAAATAATCACCGTCACTTCCATCACTTATGGCAGGGCTCTTTCTGGCTCTCATGAGGCCTGGCTCTCCTCCCGACCTTTTGGTTTTTCACATCCAAATAATGTGATTTTTTAGGATCACTGCCAGGAACTATTTTGAATAACTTGTGTATGACTCATTCACAGACAGCCTCTACACTTGACTCTTCATATCTCATGGTGTGATAAATATTGAAGTGGGGTCTACATACATAAACATCGGGTAGGCTAAGGTTAAGGTACACTTTACTATATACATCCTTATACTTAAAAATAACTGACAACCCATAAAATATGAATGATAATAATGTATTATCTTATCATATAGAGAAGATACACTTGTTTTTCAATTTAATACAATGTAAACAGAACATCAAATAGTAAACAATTTTTTGAGTTAGAAAAGAAAACGCAACTGAAGAATTGCATGACACAGATGTGTTGATTTAAAGGTTTTCCATTTTTACTCTGTTAACATTAGAGATATCTGTTTCTCCTGGCACTGTTCAGCTGTAAAAGATCATAACTTATGCAGATTTTAAAAAGGTTTAAAGGATTAACTTATTTATAATGATAATATTTTTTTAATTACAATTTCAGATGAGGAGGAGGTTTGTTTTTAGACATTGTCGTCCTGTCTGCAGCATCACAAGCACATCAGTAACACTTATGCCATAACCACATGTACTTAAGACCTAACCCTCTCCTTGGGGTCACATAGACCCGAAGACACATTTTTTTTCCTTCCTGCTTTCTTGGGGCGGGTCAATCAGACCCAAAAATTTATTTTCTCACCTGGCGAGAAAATAAATGAAAATAAATTTTTGGGTCTGATTGACCCTCCCCAAGAGAGCGGGATACACACACTCAGGGGATTCAGTGATGATTGATGCAAATACAAACCATGTCCGCACAGAGCTACTGACACTTACACGCAAGCATTTCTTTTGAACATATGTACATCAATCCTGATCACAGTTATACTTTAGTCTCTACAGTTTTGAAAGTTACATTTCTAAATTAAAGGTTACTAAATTGCAGATTAAAGTTAGGCTCATCTATTTATACTTTGGTTCTGGGGGAAAACCTTGTGTAATAATCTGCATTACAAATTGATTAATAATTGCATCCAATTTTGTAAACGATTAGTATATGCTAATCAGTCCATGTGTACATGTTCAGTGTGTTGTAACTTACAGATTTATATGAAATTCTTTATACTTATTCTTTATAATACTCTATCTATTGGTCTATTTGTAATACTATTATATTTTTTTTTTCTAATGCTTGTTTGTTAGGGATAATTTCTCATCTTAGCTCCATATGAACAAGACTATAACTTCACTTAAACCCTTTTGAGCTATCTCTGTTTATATTGCATTATACTAGGCTCTGCAACTAATAATGTTAAGACAAAAATGGCAGCAGAAAGTGTTTAAAAATATCATGACAATTACCAGTAGCGTTTGTGGATTAAAAATGGGCAGTGAATTCAGCCAAAGCTATGTCCTTTGATTCCCTCATCAGTTTGGTATTAAACATGTGAGCAGATTGTTAATACTATGTGGGTGTGAAGGATGTGATATTAGGATATTAATAAACCTTTTGTTTGATAACCTTATTTGACCTGGACAACACAAGCAGACCATCCAAATAGTCTGAAATGTTATCAGAGGTATTTTAGCATGAAAGATAATGGTACTCATTGACGAGAACCATCCATACAGACAGCAAGAAATATCCCAGTGGCTAGACAAAGAGCCTCAGCTTTTTTATTTTATACATTCTGTTATATGTAGTAATTGCTTTACACACATACATTTGTCAAAACAGGCTAAAAATGAAGGTAAATGTGACACAAATAGAAAGATACAATTTTATAAATTGTGGTCATATAGTGTCTGTAGACTGCAAATAACAATTGTATAATGAAAAATATATATATAAATAATTATTGTTATACACATTTCAAATAATCATGTGCTTTTGAAAGTTTTGAAAGTGTTGCAATAATACAGTACATTTCAATACATTTTGGACTTAGTCCACATCACTTTCCACATTACTATGCTCTTATCTACTTTGAGATGCCCTTTCCTTCCCTTTATAAACTGAGCTTTTCATATTGCCTTTTATTGCCCGAGCATTGGCTGACATTTCATTTTAAGGCACATGTGATAATGTCTCCTTGAATTCCAACAATAAAAACTAAGCTTAACATTGTATCATATTTTTATCTTCCAAAGGCAATGAAGTAGAGGCTCGCGACACATCCTTCTTCTTTGTTTGGAACAATGGCTAAGGGCAGCTGTTTGTGTTGTCACTGTGGGTTTATGGCGGATTATCCAGGAGAATCCACAGCTGACAGTCCCCCGAACAGCCTGGACACCACACACCTTAGACGGCTGTGGGCACACAGGAGCAGCACATAGTCAGGGTAACTTTATGGTTTTCAAGTAAGTACTTAAAATAGGGAACTCATGATAACTTGAAGGCGGGGCTTGACTGAAAACAAACATTCACAAACATGTGAGCATGAAAATTCAGCACAAATTGTGATAACTGTTTAGTATATATATATATATATATATATATATATATATATATATATATATATATATATATAGTTTATTCAATTCACAATTCTTAATTTCCCTTGTGGATCAATAAAGTCTAAGTCTAATTCAGGGTACACCATCCTTAGGTCAAAATTGGATAAACTCTTTCTGCTAATATGATGACAATAAATAAATGCATAATAATAATAAATATGCATCTTTTTTATATATCGCACTTTTGTAGAAATTATCTCCTTATACTCGATGGCAGTAAGCTCCTACTTTAACTCCTCCCTGTGGCTGCCTGAAAGAGATGTGGCTCCAAGTTTGCACAAACAGCCTCTCGGGCGAGTCATTAATCATTAGTCTTTAACTTATTCATACAGCACATTCATCATACTTCATACTCCCGGTCTGCTCAAAGACACAACATGCTCATGCTCTGAGTGAATGTGGTGTTAACATACAACATTTGGGGATCTAATATGTTAAAAAATTTCCCCTCCCAGTGTCCAAATATTGACTGAAAGTGCATTGTTAATTTTGGTCCACAGTGTGGCACTATTGTCAGAGAGCAGAGAGCTTGTAGAATGGACGATTATTGTCAAAGTAGTTGGATTAGATTGCTTAAATAGTTGTATTAATACTTCTGACTACTTGTCTCAATATATTTAGTTTCAGTGGGCACATATGGGCACATACGTATTTATCTCACATTGGCTTTTACTCAAGAGCTGAAAATGCAACAATGCATTCTGAGGTTTGTTCACTTGGAGGTGCTGTATTCTCCAAAATGTTTGAGCCTAC